TTTTTACTATTTGTTTATATTTTTCTCCTAATTTAATTTTTTAGTTTTACCATTCTTCACTCTTTCAATTATTATTATTATTTTCGGCATTTTTTGTGAAGCATTTAGGACATTCCCTTGAAATTTAAATATTTTTAACACTAATTACTGACTTTTTATGCTGTTAGTTGCATAAATGCTGCTAACAAATCAAATTAACAAATAACCATTATATTTTTGTGTATGTACATATGTATGTAACAGCATGCTCAAATGCCTTTCTAAAGCATTGCTATGCACCTATGCCGCTTAGACTGTAATTACAGATTATGCCGCGTGATTTCAGTGCTCGAATTGCTGGATTAATATAATAAAAGCACATAACTTGCTATATACGGTATATATGTACATTTATATTAGCATATATCAATATAAGTTTAAATAATATTTCTTCATTTATATGTAAACACATACTATGTATATATAAGAAAAATTTCATTCCTAACATATGATTCACCATACTACATGCATACGTACACACATACATACATACTTACCTATATTATAAAATATTATTTATTTTCCATAAGCATCAAATTTTTTACACACATACATTACATTTACATCTACATATATACACACAACTTCAGTTAAATGCGTTTACGATCTTTGATTTCATTATTTGCACTTTGAAACTGAATAAACACTTAAAGAAGTATGAGATCATAATGAATTGTTATAAATATATATACATATATATGTAAAACATATAAATATGTGCGTTGTGGGTGCATTCATAGATATGCGTTTAGTAATGTAAGTAGGTAAATGTATATGTGAATATAGAAATATATATATACATATGTACATACTTGATAAGCATTTATCGAATATTTTTGTTGTTGTTTTTGTTGAATTATGCAAAAACTAAACATTTGCTTTCGATTTATACTGAAGTAGTGCTACTTCATTTGAAGTACTCCCCTTGTGTAAATTTTAATTATAGTAAATTATTTAGACAAACACTTCATTAAGTATATAGACGGCAGCAATCACAATTTTATAATTTTTTTATT